TTAACCCCAACATCCATTATGTGTGACTTAATCATTCGAGAGAGTATAAAACACACATCTGGCTACAGCGGTAGTGTATAGACGTGCGATTAATTGTGCTTCTTCTTTAATATGAGTGATACAACAACATGTATTTTAGTGTATGGATTTTAATTTACGTAACTTGCCCTTTTCTTTAATGCATTTGCACATTATTTAGTCATTAAGTACAAAATCAACAGCACGAGCCATTTCTTTTATGGCAGACCTGTTGAATTGTTGACTCTCTTTACATTTCTTTGCTCATAAGTGCAAACTTCATGATGATGTCAGAGTAATGCGAATTCACTCAATTTTTTGTGACTACAGATTCATTCAAGCTGCAGTGCCAGTCTGCTTATCAACTCTGTCATATTCATTCATTTTTAGACTGACATCAATAGGAACACTGCCAGACATCCCGCCATTGTTAATACAGTGGTGTTTACCTATTTAGGTTATGTAAGACCATTTATTTCTTAGCAGCTCCTAGCAAACAGGAGGTTATCTGTGTACATAAAGCTGAAATAAATAAGAATTCAAATCTAAATAGTCCTAAAATAAGCTTTCTTATGTGAAAAGAGACAGCTTTACTAACTGCATGAATGGACAAAGTCACTCCAGTGATATAAGTCATCAGTGTCCTAATTATATCTGACACTTAGTGAGATATTTAAATCAGATTCAAGTCCACAAAGGAAATGATACAAAACATTTTCAGCTGTAGGCTTGCTCTTTTCTCACTGCAACAGGCCTGTTATTGATTAACTACAGTGCAAATATGTCTTAACACTACCTGTGGCATGAGACAGTGGACCACATATAGACAGTGTAGACACACTTCTGTCAGGGTTACTAGGTTCATTGGGATATTGTAAAAGTCAAAACAAAGCCTACACATTAACCCAGTACATTTTAAAGGGGCAAAGATATTGTGTTATGAAAGTACGCATCTTTAAAGAGTCTAATAAAAATGACTTTTTTTTTTTTCATCCTTCAGCTTTTACAATATTTTTAAGTGCTTTATTATTAGTAAATTTAACTTGAATGACTCTGCATGTACCGTTTGGGTACTGGTACGCTGTATGGCACCAGAAGATAATGTGCCTGGGTAAGCATTTTCTATATTTTACCACTGTTGTTTTGACCAGTAAAAACTCATGATCTCATGTCATGTGCTTGCAGTTTTCATATTTGAGGAACTCACTGGGTTTTTTCCTCAAGGGAACAACATGCATGTACATGTACTGTGAGTTTGTGTATGTTGGCACTGGTCCCTCTGGTGTTTGTACACATTGAGCCTGCTGGCTCCACTGTGCATATATTCTATACATTTTGTTTGAAATTGAACTTGTATTGGAAGAAAATCTACAATATATATTCACTCATTTTGTTCTGTCTAAACTGTTCAGTATCATACAAAGAAAGATCAGCAGCTTAAAATAATGTTAGTGGAAATGTTGAGTCCATCTTGACAGCTGTACAGAACCGAGACCACTTTCCACCTATTCAGATATTTTATAAGCGATTAAACATTAATGGGGCAATCGCTGTGATGTCACAGTGCGATGAGGTTCTGCCATCCATTTTGTTCAGCCACTCAGTACCAGGGCTCATTGCCTATTAATGAAGTAACAGGAGATGGCTGAAATGGTTCTGAGGGGAATGATTAGGCCATATCACTTCCTCCCCCTTAAAGTACACAGGTATCACATCTCCTGTTCAACTTTGCAATCAAAATGTAGCCTGGTGAAGGCTACAGACTGAGAAAATAGATAGTGGAAACAGAGAAGGGCAGAAGTGAAACTGGCGTCAGGAGCTGACAGAAATAGTTTAATGCAATAGTTTCTAATCTTTCCTGCAGCCTTTGTGATGCATTACATCAGCCCGTATCACTGTTTCTTTTTATCTGCTGTCCTACCGCGGTCTACCCTGCACTGGATCACCGCTAACAGGACTGTCAACCCCACTTGTTATGTTATACTGAAAGAGGTGACTGACATATGTTTTTATGAGCAGCTACATGGAGATGGTAAAAATGTTTCATCAAGTATTTGTTGCCTTTTGATTAGTGGCTCACATTTGGTGGAGTGTTGCCTGCTGTAAGCAGCTGTTATGAACTTGTTTCTTGGTATTTTAGGGAGTGAGTCATCACCTTTCTGTATTGTCACAGAGACAGGCGAAGGGTCGTGTCCTTTAACAGTGCCCGTTAAGATTTATAGGGTGATGACCAACAACTTTCTGCCCAGGTTACCAGTGACATGAATCATGTTTTGCTTAGTCAGCAGAGCCGAGGTCTTGTCAAAGAGAGAGATAGAAGAAAGCAGCTGTGCATGCAGGGAGGCGCACAGCAGTGTCGTATCAGAGGAGCTGTTTTCTTTGGGGCTGCTGAGAGTCTCAATGCTAATATAAGATCAGCCTTGTTAGTTTCATGTTTTTGTTTCATAAAAGAAGTAGGAGAGATAAGCCTGGCATAGATTTTACCGTGCATGCCTTCAGTATCTGAAACATTTGCTACTTCACAAGACCCCAGGTTTTGTCTTTTGAACTTCTGGCAGCACCTTTGACCCACCCCGCTGTGTTATCTCCTGTGTTTCCCATGTTGAACAGGGAAGGAGTCGAAGGATAGTTGAGGTTGTTTTTACAAAAACAGAGGAGATGTATAGAGAGGGAATGAGGACAGGTAAAGCAAATGAGTTTTTCATGGATTTGTGGTGGCTGTGTCATATCAGACTAAAGACAGCAGGGGAGGGTTTGGTATTTTCTGTGAGAGCGTTTTCTCTTGGAGTCTGTTGTATTGTGACAGCTGCCCTCTCCCTGTTAGAATAACATCCCCGGGAACTCACTCTTCCTCATGTGCTCACTGGGGTTGCGGGCCAACACCTTTTCCCCTTGATTGTTGCGCACACTGTCTTTAGATTTCTTTAGGGAATTGTGTATATGCATGTTTAATTCATAAAAGAGAGGCATCCTTTGTCACAGACACCTCTTTTCCCCTAGAGCTATTTTTTTCTTTTCCCTGTGCTCCCAGAAGTTGCCAGAGTTCCTTTGCGTTTCATGGAATCCACAGAACACTGCTTCCTCCCAGTGTTGGTGTGCGCTGGTCCAGGACCCGCTGGTCTGGGGAGCACGCCTCTCCTCTCAGGAAAGCTGGCGCTTGGTGCGACCACTCCACTCTGATAGCCTGCCAGAATACACACAAATCAGACAGAGGCGACTGGGAAAACGGAGAAGAAAATGGACCAAGAGTGACTCAAAGAGGCAAAGAGCAAAAGGCAACTCTGCTCTAGTTAATTCCCACACTGGTCCAACTTTGGATCATAGGTGTTTACAGCTAATGAAAATTATGGTTAAAATTACACTGCATCAAGTCTCATGTCTGACTCTGAAGCTGATAATCAGCAGGTTCTGAGAACTAGGCACCATATTTGTATGCTGGTTGATATGTGTGCAGGTTGTGGGCTGCTGGACGGGTTAGGGATGAGCCTGCAGGCTGCTCAGTTAAAAGCTCAGTCGTAGATGCACAAGCTCTAACCTAGAGCTAAGTTTGAAGAGTGGAGTGGGGTGCTCACTGACTCTGCAGGTTTCACTCTTTGAATGTTTATAGATTTAAAAGTACCTTTACATCTGTAGACTTAAAGCATTTAGATGTATTAATGCACTCTTACTGTTTAAAAAGTTAGTACGACTTTCCAAATAGTTTGTTTACATGGAAAAAGTTCTCTGTTTTTTTTCATAGGTGAGAGCTTTGAGCTAAGTTAATCCATGTGGTTTGGTGTTTACTGTGAAACTAGGAGACATTTGTCAGACTGATACAGAAAAACACAACTGAAAACTGAATAACTTTCTATGAAACAGACCAGATTAGGTTGTTCAGTGAACTTCATACCTTAGTAGAACTTTTTTATTGTTTCTTTTTTTTTTTTCTCAGAGAAGCTAGAGTGAGGGCGAGCAGAGAACATTGGTTCCTGTAACTGTTGTTCTGCCCTGTGATTGGTGGATGCCTGTTGCTAGGCTTATGTCAGTGTTCGGGAGTTTTCTGCTTCCTCATCTGTGCACTGATAGGTCAGGTTTGAACTGGTCTTGTGGACTTCTGCCACTTGTTGAACATCCCCGCAGTTTCTGCGGTTCCCTCGCCTTTTACTGCATGAGAAAACACAGCAGCCACAGCTCTGAGACACATGTGCAGAGTTTGTTCCTGGCATGGCTTCCCCTCTGTTTTTTTTTCATCATAACTTTTATCATCCTCTTTACTGGTTTAAGACTGTTGTCACTTCTACTCCATACTCTTCGTGAGCACTGAGAAAGTAGCTGCCATACTTGTGATCTTAGCGAGCTACTTTGCTTTAAAACTAATAGTTTAGTATCCACGTTTATGCCACATTCTACAGTAATATAATTTCTGCCTTCTGTTGTAAGATTTTACAACAAGCCAGCTGTTGCACATACTGTATCTGTTTCCTTGCATACTTCGCCGAACAAATTCCTTGGTGGCAGTGTCACTTGTTGAACTTGTTACTCTTAACGTGTTGTTTTCCCCTGTAGCAGGTTTCACTCTGTGTCAGATCTTTTGCACCTTCGTGGAGCACAAAGGTTGTTGTCAGCTTTGATTCCAGTAGCAACAAAGTAATGATAGTTTTGGCTGAAGAAAGTGTCAGAACATTCATATAAGCCAGTCAAACCACTCTTGCAACATTGCTGATAGAAAGGTAGATAATGTGGTGGTTGCTCTTCCTGAGGTCTGCTCTATTTTTTTCTGTTAAAGGGTTTTTTTGAGGGTCCAAGGGCAGAGGTTGTCATATGATGTACAAAATGTAAAGTTCCATGAGGCAAATTTGTGACTTATGATATTGGGCTATACAAATAAAAATGGACTTAACTTGACTTCTGCCATCTGTTGATATTCTCAGAACATTATCTGACTGGAGATGAGACAATATTCAGGAACTTCTGTTGTGTTGAGAGCTGGCACTAGAACCGTCAGAAAAATTTAAGATATGGCAAGAGACAGCGTTTATGAACTCCTGGTCACACTAGACCAGGTAAAGCTGTAGCCCTGAACCTCTAAGTGTATTCAACTGATCTATGACTGGTCTGATGTACAGTAGCTGCACTGTAAATACAGAAGGTTTGTGTGGTTCGTTAACATGGGAATTAATAAAAATGCACCTGAGTCTAGCATGTTACAGTAAACAGGTTCCCAACTGAAGCTTTGAATGTTCTAAAAACCAAAAACAGCTTCTTATAATGACAATAAATATAAAATCCTTTAACTTGACCAGATCTTAATAGGAATAATTGTATTACTGTTCAGTGTAACACCAGTGGAAATGTGCCCATTGTTCAGGCCTTTCCTCCACCACATCACTATCTGATGATATACACAATGTTAAAACAAATCTGAGAGGATTTCTGTTTCCAGGAGGTTTTCCCTTCATCATAACTAATCTTCCCAATGTTATCCTAACCACTGTACTCCAAACGCCCAACACACACACACACACACACACACTTGCACAGGCACCTCTCCAGGGTGGCATGGTGGCTGAGTGGCTATGCCACAGCTAAAGGTTCCCTGGCCTAGCCTCTGAAACATGTCACGTTTCATACAGTTAATGTGGGGAACAACAGCATTCAAACTCATTGTAGGTGACATCAAATAACTGAGATGCCTAAAGACGCAGGTCCTCAGACACCTGCGCTGTGGTTTTTTTGATTTGGAACACCGTGTTCTGAACAAACTTCAGAAGACACCTCAGAACATCTGAAGTCTCAGCAGCAGAATACATAAAGTCTTATAAGCCAGGCATAACATATGAACTCTGGAGGCAGATATTTTGTCATGTTTTATAAAATTCTGTCAACACCAAAGACATTAAAATAAGTCCAAGTGTGCAGACAAGTCGAATGCACTTATCTGAAGAGGCATCGATTGGAACTGGATGTGTGGTTGGACAAAAACACCTTAACTCCACTTGTTAGCTCTTTTTGAAGCTTTCTGAATATTTTGCAGAGCATATACAGTTTTGTTTGGCTCCAGCCTCCTGTGGTCCTCTATAGGATAAGTGGTATAGATAATGGATGGGTGGATAGAAGTTTGTATAGATGTACAGTGTTTTGATGACAGATCTGTCTGATATGCGAGTTACTTGGGTATTAATGTAACTTGTGTATCAGCTCTGACTTGTGAATGAATCAGCAGTGGGAACTACCTACAATAATTAGTTATTAGGAAAGGAAATTAACTGCAGGTGTAATCTCGGCTTCTTATGCCTGAATGGCATAGACGTGCACATAGATACTCCTAATGAGGGTACAGTCAAGCCTCACAATTTTCACAGTAGTGATTGGCCCTGTCTGCAAGGCTAGACCCCCAGATCTAAGCGCTTTATTGTGAAAAGGTTTGATGTGTTATAATCCCTAAAGCTGACCAACCTCTTCTGGGGCTCCCAGCAGCCCTGGGAGTGCTGACTCCACTGCCGCGCACCCCACCCTGTGGCATCAGGAGAGTGTCCGGTGGCAGGGTGGGTGGCTTGATTCACACAATGAACCTGCTGA